GTGGGGGGGGGGGGGGGGGGGGGAGTGTAATTAAAAATTTGGGGGGCCCTTCCATTCCAGGGCCCCTTTTTGGGAAAATGTTGGCAACAGGGAGAGGAGGCGTCAACGTTATGTTTCCCAGAACTTCCCCAATGATGAGTAAAATCGTCTGGCATTAGACAAGTGAATGTTTTTATTCGTGCAATGGTAAGAATATTTTCATTCGGTGAAAGATGGAATGTTCCATTCAACAAGGACTCATAAACATTAATTATTTGTTTATTGTCTAACGCCAGTTAAAATATCAGTCAGTCAAAAACACTGTCCAACCCGTTCGTTAAATTGTCCGACATAGACAGGGCTGTGCCAACCGATTCTGATTGGGGGGGGGGGGTAATTAAAAATTTGGGGCCTTCCATTCCAGGGCCCCTCAAAATTTTTTTAGGGAAAATGTTGGCGACGGGGAGGGTCGATGTTATGTTTCCCAAAAACAAAAGTTCCCAAAATTTTTCGCAACACAATATTTCCCAGAAAATTCCACAATTCAGCACACACCCTTAACACCACCCCCAGGTGTTCCGGGCCTGGACATAGAGAGGAAACCACTGGACATTCTGCCCTACCTAAGTGAAACTGAGGTTTATTTTCTATTTGATATTAGGGTGGCTCCCTACAGTTTACTACAAAATGGAAGATCTCCGATTTAGACCAACAATTCCTACATGTTAACCCATTAAGCTACAGGCTTCCCGAGTAGAGTGCACTGGGGTGCATTGCAGCTAAATGGGTTAAAAGACAAAGAAAGTCCGATTAGAAACATATTAACTACATATTATACTGAATTTTTAACACTCTTCTGGTTCGTCATGCTTGTAAATGAATACAGACTAAGGATTCAATTCAAGAAAGTTTGCAAGGTGCAAAATATTAACAACATTCCAATGGTTGGGTCCCGACCATTGGAATGTAGGCCTGCACAGAACTAGGGATCAGCCAATAAGGCTCACATAATGTCAGCTTTATGCACAGCTAGTCTGCTGCATTTTTCAGTGGAAATGTTCCCAGCTTCACTGAACACACGCTGCATGGTGAGTTGTTTGTATGTTTTCCTCCTCTGCGGATTATGATTCAAGGGCCTTTTCCCGGGCAAACTTTATACATTGCTATTGTGTTGTTATCTTCCAAAATATTAAAACCTAATGGCGCACACTTTTTACAGCGTGTGCTGTTAGGTTCTGGGCAAAATAACTCCAAGCAATCCCCCCGCCCGCATTTTATTACAAATATCAGGTCACCAAAATTTGTTTAAGCCAGTCAAAAAACAGAATATGGTACGACTCAATGCATAGGAATGCATTGGTGTTTTAACTGTTTTTAATGACGGCCACTCACGTGAGACAAATGGCCGATTTTTTAAACAAAGACGCAGGTTTTGCAAAAAGATGTGAAAATCTATTCACTTGTATTGGGTCGTTCCAGAAAAGATCCATACTCCCCCCACGGAGGAAATTTCAGCCGTCCGGAGGGGGAGGGGAGAAAAAATCGTTTCTGATAATACAGGGTTCGAAATAACGGTCCGTGATTCGTGAATCACAAATCAATTTTCATTTTTCACGAACCCAATTTCATAGAAATTAGAGCTGTGCGGTTAACCGAAAAATTCGGTTCTTCCGGTACTTTTTTCAGCACCGAAAATTTATATGCAAAAGAACCGGTTTTAGTTTCGGTTTTAATTTCCCGTTTAACGCCCGCTAGACGCCCACCTGATTGCAGGTTGAAATGTTTGGAAAATAACAAGATTGTCCTCTTTGTGCGCAATATGCACTGTACTAAGTGCTCAAATAGTTGATATTTTAGTTGTGATAGTTATTGTTGTGAACTTGCTTTAATTTTTTTTAAAAACTAAGAAATATTTCATCTTCATAAATAAATAACCAATTGTTCTTTTAAAATATTTAGAGATTTATACAAACTTACAAAGGCATAAATTCATCTATTTAGTAAAAATGCTCGAAACATACATAAATGAGTTCATACATTTGTACTGTTCTTCTTTTTTAAAAATAACCGAAACCGAACCGAGGTTTTTTTGTTCCAAAAGAACCGAAACCGGAACCGAGATAAAATTTTTGGAACCGCACAGCTCTAATAGAAATTGATCAAAATCACAAATCAAAAGTCTCTCAAATTGATAAAAATATACAATAATAAATTCAGTCCTTTGTAAATGTGATGAAGGATCATATATTCTGAAGATATTGTTGTTAGATTGTACTTAAAAACAATTATAATTCCACCCAAAATTCTATTTCTTTGCGAGTTTGCGAAGTATATTATATATTTGAAAATGGCAGTGCTTCCACTTTTTAACTTCCAATTAGAGAAAATCCCTTGAAAATTCCTTAAAATTTCCTTAAAATAAAAAAATTAATTCACGAACCATTTTTTCAGAATTAATTCGAACCCTGTAATAGTAAATGTATTAGGACATCCGAAGGGGGCAGGGGGCTTAACTTCCTATTTCCTTCGTGGGGATGGTATGGATGTTTTCTGCCAGAATGATCCATTCAGTATTTTAGCATATGCTTGGTAGCTGCAGAAAAAGTCTTATGGCCAATTTTCAGGCAATAATCACCTGATTACTGATTATTCAAAACATGATTAATTGGCATTGCCAATTATTTACTGATTAATCGGCCCATCCCTACACAGAATGTATGGAACATAAGTGCAGAACAAACTTTACATGGTCTTGAAAGTTATTTTACTTGAAAATAATGTCGGTTACCCCCACTTTTTATTAAAAGAATTTGTTTAGTGTTTTGAATCATTTTTGTTATGATTTTTTAAAAACTCTGCCACGCGAAAAAATTGTTACAAACGTCATTGTTGCCATAGGAATGGCTGTTAGAACTCTGCACTCCTTACATATTGTTTTATTCAAGTCAGATACTCTTTACTTTTCAACAAATAATTATTGTCCAGAAATTCTCAAATTCATGTCCAAATCAGAAAATCTTCCATTTTTTAAAAAGTATAAGTAGCTACCTTCAAGCCAAAATGAACTGAAGGTCATCAAACATCATCATACATATGTCCAATCCAAACTGAAAGTCATCAGATATTTTGTCAGACGGCCCTGTAAAAGATATTTTATTAAGGTGTGAATACCACTTTGTGCAATAATGCATGGGCGGATTTACTGGAGGGGGGAGGGTTAGAGGGGGTTAAACCCCCTAGAATCTCACTAACCTCTCTAATAAAGTATTCAACCCCAACAAAATTTTGCTTTACCCATCCTATTGTGTGAAACGCTTTAACCCAAATGCCTAACCCTTGCTGAAGTTCACAGAGTGGTTCCGCTTGCATCCCACCAGAAATTTTTCGAACCCTCCTTTTAAATAAATGAAAATCTCCCCTTGTAATAATGGCAAGGAAAATGCGGCCAGGAGACATATGACACGCTTCAAAAAATGCAAAAAATTAACTTTAGGAACAAAAACAATTGAATTAGTGTTTTAACTATAAATAGACAACTGACCAACATTCTGAAAAGGTACATTCTAATGGTGTTTCTTGTCACAAGCTGCCAACTGGCATTTTCTTATAGTATGTGCATTAATATAAAAGTAGACTATTTATAAGTTCTTTGCTTTTATTTGTTCTTAAGTTATTTTTGCAGTAATAAATTTACGTGGTGTTTCCACAAACAAAAACAATTAGACTATTTATGTTGACACCTCTGATTTGGGCTTTCTAGCTGAAAATTTGAGAATTTTGTCTGATAAAGGTACCATGTTGACTAAAATTGCAAAATTTCAAGTTTACTTTTCACAAAAAAAAACTATATCATCAGAAAGACCACAAAAAAGTATACGTAAGACATTTAAGCGAGTAGTGCAAATTTTCAAGTCGGTTTTGAGTGAAAGAAGCTTAAAGTTGGCAAAATTCAAAAATTCAAAACTACCTATCAGGCTTGTAGATGATCTGGTCTCCTTTTCGAGTTTTGATTAAATAGCTGGACCTATACGTCTTGTCCGTAGCATACGGTTCAATCCTTGTGGATGACAAAGTCACTATTACTCAAAGAATAACGTTCATTTCTGAAGACAAACAATTCGGAGAGGGTACTTGATGCCGGTTCATGCCTAACCTTAAACATCAGTGTAGCTATGTCCTATAAACACGCTCTTCCGATCTATTGCCAGTTTAGCACAATGGAGTAATTCCTGGTATGACCACCCCTTGTATTGGATCTGTATATAAATTTTCATCCATATAAAAGCCAAAATCAGAGTTGCCAACATATCTAAGTCTTCTTCATAAATGCACATACTCTATGAAAATTTCAGTTGGCAGCTTGTAACAGAAAATGCCATCAAACAAATGTTGTTGCACATTTTCAGGTTTTGGCCAGCCGTCTATAAACAATCCCATGAATTTTCTAAATCCGCCATTTTGTTCGATGGTTCGCATCGCATCAAACTTTATATCAAAGCCGCTTTTTATAGTGAAGCACTTTTTAGATGATTCGGGCCATGTATGATTCGGAATCTGCAGCTTTCCTATTAATTGTATATATAGATGTTGTTAAATGTATTAGCCAGTTTAGCCTAATGTCTATAGATGCATACCCTTTCTCGACTCTTCGCACGAAAGTCATCCGCGATATCACATGGCAAGCAACAATGTCAAATAAAAGATATTTTTTTGGCCAAATTGCAAACTCGTTAAACCGAAATAAAATTAATACAATTTAGCATCAAGGTTGAGACAGGGTTTATGATTGAGAAGAGTTCTGGGGCCCAAATGAAACCGGTTGTCCAAGTAGACGTTGGAAATTTTATGTAAACGTTGTATTCGAGACGACGTGACTTTTTAAGTAAGCAACGAAATCTATGATTTCGCAAATATAATATAGGTTTATAATATATGTAATCACTCACCAAAGACACAATTTTCCAAGCAGATCCAACACATTCATAATTTACTGCCAAAGTTGGCACCAGAAGTCAGAACTTCGACGTCCTCCACGAATTCGCAATTTGGAGAGTTATCACTGAAACATTAGACTGAAATGAAATCCAATCGTCCAACTCTGCCCGCGCAGGCGCGCACCCCTTGTTCTCCCACTGATCTCTATTCGAAACTGAAGCCGTGAAGCGACGAGCTGAGGGAAGTGCAAAAACGTTTGCGCATGTGTCAACCCAGGAAGACACTGGGGACGAGGTTAGCATCATCCTGGCCACAGTTTAATGATGTCCTGGCTGAAATTTGCCTTGCGAACGTGGCGTCAAGAAGGCTATTATTTTTATGCGTCAAGATTTCGTGATTATTGAACTATTCGTGATTATTCTGACGAGCAATAAGCGCACAAGCCTGGGTACGAGGTTGGCAACATTGAAGCTGCGCAAATTTTAATTTCTGCGGGGAAGCTCCAACTCAGTAGAATTAGTACAACAGTACCGTACGTAGTACCGTAGTATCATATACCAATAGTACTGTGAACGTACTATACAACCAAAGAAGAACCGTGTTACCCTCTGCGTGTTACCACTATTCATAGGAGCTTAGGGCCTAATTATGCTAATATATTTGGTGACTGCGTGTCATGAAATTATAACCGTTGATAAAGAGCCAAAATCTACCAAAACAAGCCAAACAACATTCAACAAAAAGAAGCTAAATTCTAGCTAATATATATATATAGTCGAACTGCAGCTGATAAAGAAAGAGTAAGGGCACAGAATAAAGACATACAGAAGTGTATCTTCTTATTAAAAGTGCGTAAGGGATTTTTTCAGTCCGCCATGTTGTTAGCAAGTGCCCTAAAGAGAGGCAGTCACCCCCTGAAAACATATTGAAAATTTAATATTCCAGGGGGGTGAATGCCTCTCTTTAGGGCACTTGCTAA